CCTGTATAAAGTGAATTTCTGCAAATACTCAACCATCTCCTGGTTTTTGCTCCAAAATAACCAAGGGACCTTTCCTGTATAAAGTGAATTTCTGCAAATACTCAACCATCTCCTGGTTTTTGCTCCAAAATAACCAAGGGACCTTTCCTGTATAAAGTGAATTTCTGCAAATACTCACTCTCTCCTGGTTATTTTCTCCAAAATAATGAAGGGACCTTTCCTATATAAAGAAAATCCTACAAATACTCACCATCTCCTGAGGTTTTCACTTTCTCCTGTGTCGTTTCCGAAGTGAAGGTGTGGGAGGAGTAACCAATGGGTATTAACCCAGCCCTCTTGCCTAGGAGACTGAGGTAATCTTTTGAGGCCACACCTACGGTCCTCCTCTAACCTCCCCAGATTAACCTCAGTCTCCGGCCTGAAAGGAGCATTACTCTGACTCTCCCTTCACTTCGAAGACTCAGGAGTATTTTTCTTACAGGATTCCTTCTACAGGATTTTACCTTATAGCTTCGTCACTTCCACCTCTCCTCTGCCGTGCTCTGTGCTGCTGGATCCAAGCCTCGCCACTTGCCAGTGTGTGCGCACGCCCCGAGCGACCGGACCGTCGTGTTAAAGGGGAGGAAGCCTCCGCATCGCGAGGGCAACAGCAGCGACCGTGCAGCCTCAGAGGGGGCCGAGGAAGACCTGCGAGGCCCGGGGATCCTTCGGAGATCGCTCCAACGCGCCCCAGCTCCAGGAGGAGGCTTGGACCGCAGGTCGGCGGTCGCCATCTTGCCGCTGCCATCTTGAAGAGCACGTGGGCGAGCGCGTGATTGGCATTCTCCTACGGACGCCGAAAGCGCTCAGGAGGCACCAGCGAAGCCAGAAGAGGCTTCATTGAGGACCTACTCCGCCGGTGATCCGGGGAGGGCTCCGGAGCGGTGCCTGCCGGCAATCCAGGCCGCAGATCGGCGGCAGAAGAAAGAAGAAGGCGGATTCAGGGTCAGAAGATTGAATCCGCCCCCACCTTAAAGGCCGGCTGAACAAAGAGGAGATTGGTGGCACCAAAAGAAAACTGAGTAAATGGCGGTGGCGGCAAGGAACAGGGATGCCAGGCCCAGAGCCCCAGGGGGTGCGGATCTGGACGAGGGGACCTCTGAGGGAGTCTCCCCGGTTCCCAGGGGGAGATCCCCAGCGAGGAAGGACAAGGCCAGGGCCCCTAAGAAGGCAGCCCCTAGGAAGGAGGCCAGGACGACCAGGGCCTTGGCCAGAAGATTCAGGGCTACCATCAGCCCTTCCCCCTCCAGGTCCCGATCTCCCCACAGGCCTCCAGTCCGGGATGAGGCCCGGGCAGCATTCCCTGGTTCCCCAAGGGGCTCAGGTAGAGGGCACAGTTCCCTATCACCCCCCCTTTCGCCTGCACCTCCAGCGGAGTCGAGGGCGGATCTATTTGGGCGCAGGGCCCCCAGTCCAGCCAGGCATCGGTTGGCTCTTCTATCCCCTGAACCCAGGGAATATCCCCAGCCACCAGAGCTCCAGCCTGCCTTACCTGAGCTCACCAATAGCTTTCAGGACATGCTAGCTAGGGCCTTAGCCCAAGTGATGGCCTCTGGGTTAAACCAGCAGCCTCAGAGCTCCAGGAGCAGGGCCCCCAGGAGCCTTCCAGGGGCCATCAGGAGCGCCCCAGCACTTCGGCTGCCAGAGGAGCCAGGTCTCCCTCCCCCTCTACTGCTAGCGAGGCTTCCGAGTTGGAAGAAGGAGAGTTGAAGGAGGTGGGGTTCTCAGAGGATGAAGAACCCCAGGTAGAGGACGACTCCACCGTCACGGGCCATTTTCCCCCTTCCTTATTTAGTTCCTTGCTCCGCAAGGCAAGTGCCACAGCAGATTTGGCCCCCCCCCCCCCCACAGATCCTAAGCCTGTGGCTGAAACGACTGGCACTAGTAAGGGCAAGAAGAAGGGGCCCTTCCATAGACCTCCCGTGGCTAAG